GCCTATTGTCTGGCTCACATAGCCTGTGACTAATCAGGGCAGAGCTATTTCCCTGTGGTAATTTTCACATCATGTAATATTGCGGATTAAATTAACTATACTTCGCAACCTTCAAATTTCATGATTTTTCTACATAATATAGCAAATTTCATAAACTTTGCTGGATATAAATTTCAAAAAGATGATACCAGCACTTACCTGAAATTTTTTAGCATTTTGTAGAGGCAAAACTTAAAACAAGCAGAACCGAAACTTGTCAAAGACTGCAACATGGGAAAATCATGTGACCGGATTTTACTCTTTGATTTACAACTTATTTAGTTAATGGCTTGTATTAGTTTTTTTACGCAGCGCTAAAAGAGAGATTTAAAAAAGGGGTTCCATAGGCGAACTGTCAGCAGGCCGACTTCAGTTTAACACTTCACTGCCCGTGGACAGTTACGACTGTAGCGCCCCTAGCGGATTGTGATCTACCTATACTAATGGAATCTATGGAGGGTATAACGTTTTTAATAACTGCCATTTACTGGTCAAGACTTCATAATGCCCAGGCTTGGCAGCATTACATAAAGCACATCACTGCCTGTGACATAAGTATTGAGTGATATGCATTGCAGTGATGTGACACATTGTATTCTGTTTGATGTACTCTAATATGTGTGCATTCTAGAATATTTATGCATAGCTTTGCTGGGCATGTATCTTGTTATTAATCCACTGTTTCCACAGTGGTAACGATAAGATGAATTTTTTGTAATGCTACAAGTAATTATATCTTAGAATAATTTCATTTTAAAGGACTGACAGAATGTGTTATAGCAGCAGCTCTTGCAAGAATTGGCTTCAGAGTTCTACATTTGGACAGGTAAGTTTTTTTTTTTAATTATTCCATTTGTATTAATTTTTTTTTATTATGATTGTATACTGTATATACAAACATATACGTTAACTTTAAAGAATTTAAAAACCAATAAATATACTGCATTAGTGTAGCCATCCTTTAGTTGACAAATATACTTTATACAGTACAGAATTGCATGGCTTTGCTCCATTTTTGATCAAGTTTTTATATCTCTCAAAAATTGTCAATGCTCTTTCCACTATTGATGTGTACTGATCTACTTCTAGAAATGATTACTATAGCAGTGAGTGGGCAGTATTTAACTTTGATGGCATGCAAAGATGGATAAAACAGGAGCAGGTATTTTATTTTTTATATATGATGATGAATTATATATATGTGCTTAAATAGTATATGTTAATAAGATTTGGAAAGAAAAAACATTTAGCACATAGATGTTTTTCTTAAAAGGATGCACATGGAAGTAAGGTTTTTGTTTATTTTATTTTATTGGCATGTTCTATGTGGTCATCTGTAATGAAAATTGAATACATTTTATTTACCACACACACATGCACGCACGCACGCGCACACACACACACACACACACACGTGATATCAAAATCATGAATAATGTTCAGTGTAATGGAATGGGTCTTATAAAACAATGTTTGTTATTGAAGACAAGGGCATTGGAAAAAGAGGCCCCATTCTCAAGTGAACCATATCAAGAATTGCTGGAAGACGGAGAAGTATTAATTCCATTACCTCAGCATGGGACGGGTACTTCCAATGTAGTTGAAAAAGTTTTCATGAAGTAAGTCTGCCTGTATTTAAATGCACATATATGTATTTTACAATTATATTTTTCACATGCAAGAAAACAATTTGATGAATTGTTGAATTAATAGTTTCACAGACAATACTTTTATACCATCAAATTTGATGGTATAAAAGCATTGTCTGTGAACTATTAATTCAACAATTCATGTATATATACCAGACTAATGAACTTTCTTAAGAAAAAAAAAACAATTTGATGTTGAAAATAGATTGATATTGGGTTTTGTTTTAGAATGATGCTACGACATCAGAAAAAAAAAGGACAAACATCTGGTCTTTATATCCGTTGATGTACTGAGATGATGAATTTTGCTCTAAATATTTGGAAAATATAACATTGGTTAATACATACTTCGTGTATTATTGACTTAAAGAATTTTGAAACATTTTTGAGCCTAGTAAATGTTATTTATTTTGTCCAGAATATGAACTTTGTATTTTATACTTTTGGTGAATTGAATGTAATCAGTTAGGTATGAAGTACGGGTAATTAGATGATTTTTATTTATAACCAACAGGGAGGCTCCTGCAGACATTGTCGAAGTAGAAGATAAGACAAGTAAACTTTCTTTGGCATCAGAGGCCGCACCTAATATTACTTCCCAGGAAACCACTGAATCATCAGAAATAGACAGTCAGAATGTGGACAATTTGCTACAGGATAGTGACATGAGATTTGAAGATACAGTGGTGTCAGAAACAGTTTCACAAGGTGATCATTCCACTCAAAGTCAAGGTAAAGATCAACCTTTGACAGAGAGTGAAGAACAAAGTGAAAATGCAAAAATAGGACAAGAAAAAAATGAAGAAAATTCTGTAGGACAACTAGATGGTGCTGAAGCTACAGGGAAAATGGACGAACAACCAAAATCAGACAAAACTGAACCAAATTATGACAATGTAGAATTTGTTGTGCAGGAGAGTGACCATAAGGCTCAAGGTGCTGGGGTCAAGGTGGCCGAGAAAGAACCTAAAAAGCCGGACAAAGTCAGAGAGTGGACATTATCAGAGCTGAAGAAAGAGTGGAGAAGATTCAATTTAGACTTGGCTCCAAAGGTTTGTGGTTGATTATATGCAGTGTAACAGGGGTCGAAATGTTGCTTTCCCGCTTTCCCGAGGGAAAGCTATTGCGAGCTCGGGAAATCTATGTCATATCTTACTTTCCCGTCCGGTAAATCACTGAAAATGCCCGGGAAATGCAAAAACCTCTCGGGAAACTGCGCTTAGAGGTCGCTTTCCCGAAGAACTGTTACATGAAATTCATTTCCTGGCACTAAGTTGTGCTGATGCAAGCGGTCAATTACTTAACCATTTTCCACAACGCAAGTAAGCTAGACGTAAGTACTCACTCTGAAACTAAGGACGCACTCACGTGACTAGCTAGAATTTGTTACAGGGCCTCCTTTTGAATTTCGAGAGAGTTGTCAATCAAAATCGTCCCATGGTGGTGTATCTGACTCGTTCCCTATCCCATTTACACAATGATTGACATAGAAAGGATAAAGTCTGCGCAGCTAGCATGTATAACATAGAAAGGTACAAACCTACGCAGCTCACTGAAACAAATTAATGTGCGGGAACAAAGTTAACACAGCGTCCAAGCCTACACAAATAATGGGCACTAGAGAGCGTAGTACGGGGAACGAATATCAGTCAGCCATTTATGCACGATCAGCTGATGCAAGATGCGGGTTGCGCGCGTAAGTCGGGCTCAAGTCTGACGGAGGTTAATGTTCAGAAAATGAATCTCTTTGAACATGAGTTCTTCGAGTGGAAAATCAAAGCCGAAAGCACGGGAAAAACCAAGCAAACTCGCTAAACAAGACACGTAAACTTCAAGACACGATAAGAAATGAGGGTGAAGCAGGTGCACATGGCGACGATGCAGGTACGTCGTAAATAATAATAATGCCTAACAAGTTTCATATCTAAATGAATTGTAAATTTAATGATAAACAAGACGTTTTTACTTTTCTGTTAAGTAGTAAACACTAAAATTGCCCTACCTCTATCTCTTTGCTGATGACATGATGTATTGAAAAATAAATTGGCCTTTTCACAGACCGAGTTTTTCCTACCCTTGAATTTTTCGCTCTGCTCAAGAGCACCAACTGGGCCTATTTAGTTTGCTTGAAAAGTGATTGATTTGTTTTTCATTGAACTCCCACCAAACTGATGACCTTTTAAAAGATGTCATGGGTTATTCTAGCCTATATAATTAAGGACCTAATATCTTTATCCCCTTTACTTCTGAAAACGGAGTTTTTAACATCAAGATTTCACTGCACTTCTTCAACTTCCTCTTTTCTAAGTGGTGTAAAGTTGTCTACCATTAAGAAAATCCCCCAAGTTTCAAATTAAATTAATCATTGTGCACCTTAGAAATAACTAGAATGCTTATTGGATTGACCATGATTACATGATAATTGACATGTTTAGAGTCTGCCTTCAGTTCATAGTCAAGTATTCACTTTACCATTCTAGTGAAGTTTCCAGTAGTTTCTCTGTAACTGTATATAATTGTAATAAAATCTCAATTAATCACTTACCATTAATACTTACTTTTTAGCTGCCAAAGATGGACACATGGAGAATATAGACAGTGGCGAGTATGGAGATGAGACAATTTTAAGGCTTTCAGAACATTTTAGAAGGACACTGGATAACTCTGGCTTTACAACAAACATGTGCCAGGCTGAATGGCCTCAGTAACTTCATGAAAAGGGCCAGGACATAGTTGCCTTTTTAAGCGGAATGCTGACTGTACTAAAAGACATTTACCGTAATATTTGTGCTCTCTTGGCCATTGTGATGGTCCTTCCAGTCAGATGCAGCATATGTAATTGGTACTTGGATTTCAGTCACATTAATGTTGACAAATATACCCAGTTGTTATAAAACCCTATATGTGGATGCCAAGTTTGTTTATTTCATAACAATAAACAATTTCTCAAAGATATGTTCTTTCCTTTATAATTCATCATCATATTTAAATAAACTAATTTAATTTCAGGGAAATTGGATTTCATTGTTTTGTTGTCAGGGAAAGCTACTTTCTTGCAGGGAAAGTAATGTACAAAGTCACTTTCCCGACAGGGAAAGTATGATTTTCTAAACATTTCGACCCCTGTGTAAGCTATTTTGCAATAAGCAAAATTAATTAATTATAAAGTTTTATGAAATAAGAGTTGATTTTTGCATGCTGGCATGGGTATTCACAGTGAATTTGAAGTTAAAGTCATAATAACTCTTCATTTTGGCCAAAAATACGATTTTCCTGGAAAAAACGGCAATTTTCCCCTACTTACCAATGGTCAACGACCCCATTCCTGCATTCAAAGTTAATCCAGGGTTTTTTTCCTAAACGTACGGTTTTTTGTTAAAATCTCTTAAGAGATTTTAACTGACGGAGCCTTCTCTCTGACATGGCAGTCACGCGATATCGAGCGATAGTTTTTGGTGACCTACTTAAAACTGCGGGAAAAGCAGACAGCAACAACACTATATAACAATATTATAAGATTCATAAGATATATTCGTCTTATTGCTCAAAATGCATTTATATCTACAATGTGTGCAATTCTGGGCTTTTCGTTATCCGACGCACTGTACAAAAACTCGCAACTTACGTCTGAGGGTTTCCCGCCA